AACCCCCCCCCCCCCCCCCCAGTTCGGAGACAGGGTCTGTTGCTGATATGGAATTGGCTTTGTAGAACAGGCTGGCCTCAAACTCAACAAGATCCACCTGCCTCTGCCTTCCAAGTGCTGGGATTAAAGGCTTGTACTACCATGTCCAGTGTACTTTTTTGTTGGTGATCCACCCAGACTGGCCTCTTAAGTATGTAGGAAAGATGACCTTGACTTTTTGAACGTTTTGCCTCTTTGATTTCTGCCCTTACAGTGTGAGTTCCACATCTAGTTTCTGCAGTGCTGGGAACTGAACCCAGGACTTTTTTTTTCTTTTTTCTTTTTTTTTAAACAGGGTTTGTCTGTGTAACCCTGGCTGTCCTGGAACTCATTATGTAGATCAGGCTGTCCAGGAACAATGCTGGAATTAAAGGCCTGGTTGAACCCAGGACTTTTTTGCATCTGAGCTACAACTCCAGCCCACAATTCATTCATTCATTCTTTCTTTCTTTCTTTCTTTCTTTCTTTCTTTCTTTCTTTCTTTCTTTCTTCCTTCCTTCCTTCCTTCCTCCCTCCCTCCCTCCCTCCCTCCCTCCCTCCCTCCCTCCCTCCCTCCCTCTCTCTCTCTCTCTCTTTCTTTCTTTCTTTCTTTCATTCATTCATTTTTCGAGACAGGGTTTCTCTGCATAGCCCTGGCTGTCCTGGAACTCTGTAGACCAGGGGCCTCGGACTCAGAAATCCACCTGCCTCCCAAGTGCTGGGATTAAAGGCATATGCCACCACTGCCCGGCTCCAACAATTCTTTTCTTAACCACATAGTGGGCGTGGTGGAGTGCACCTTTAAGCCTAGCATTTGGGAGGCAGAGGCAGGCAGATCTCTGTGTGTTTGATGCCAGCCTGGTTTGGTGAGTTGTTAGTTCCAGGACATCAAGGTTAAACCAGGGCTCAGTTACAGAGAGAAACCTTGTGTTATGAAAAAAAAAAAAAACCCAAACTACACTTTATACAAAATACCAGTTACTGCATGGCATTTTCATACACGTATATAATTGCTTTGATCACATTGGTCTCTCTGCTGCCTTGTCTTACGCTCCGCCCCACATTTGTCCTCTGTCACAGGCTGCTAGTTCTAAGCATTACTTTTTTTTTTTTTTTTTTTTTTGTAGTTCATGTTTTTTTCTGGCTCTCCCAAGTAGTTGGTAGGTTTTCATCATTTCTGTTCTTTGGTTTATGGAAGTGTGCCACCATGCTCTGCTCCATCATTTCTCTCTTTACCAAAATGACATCATCACTTTGGAGAATGACTGCAGAAGTCAGCTTTCCCTGAGTGAAGTGGTGAATGCCATTGATGTCCTTTAGTTGTCATTCTAATCTTCAGTTATTTTTGTGTATTAGATGTCTTATACTTGCAAATGATGTGCCTTAATAATAAAAATTTTATTTTTAAGTTCAACTTTGATATAATTTTAGGAATTATTGCATGTGTGTGGGCACTTGTGCAGCAATGGGAGTGTGTGTGGAGGTCAGGAGAACTTTAGAAGTCAGTTTTTCAGCTCAACCTTTATGTAGGTTCCAGAGATTGAACTCAGGTGTCAGGCTAGCTTGCATCATTAAACAGCAAAGCACATTTACACACTGAACCATCTCGATGGCCGTACCTAAACCTTGAGTTTTAGAGGCTGAAAAACTCAGTTTAGAGGCTTTAAACCAACTATTTTAGGGTATTTCTCTTGACTTCCCACTATATTAGAAGAGACTTCTAACTTTAAAGACGGAAGAAGGTTTTGTTAAAGTAGTCAGAAGTATTGGGTGAAATGAGAAAGGGAGGCTTGAACCCAAACAAGATCGTAGGAACCAGCGTCTTTGCAATATGAGCTTTGCTGGCTAGAGATGACGAGTTGCTTGAAAGTAGTAATGTTCTTAGAATTACCTGCCAGGTTGCAGTATTCTTTGACAGTCTTCTGGAGAGTTTAGTTGATGAAATGTGGAAATGTGTTAAAATGACCCCTTAATATTTATTCCAGGGGTCTGAGGTGTTCACTCACCCATTTGAGATA